TATGCAGATATATTATAAAGTAACACCACTATTCACGTTGATATGCGTTTAATTGAAAGTTGTCAAAACTAAATATAGATGCATATATTGCATTTACTTCTGTCATAAACCAAACATTATTATTTGTTAAAGATGTCAATTGCATATATGCAAACATATTTCGTTTTACCCTCCTCTTTATATGTGGAATGAGCGATCAGTTTCAAATTAGCTTGCCATCTACCAAATTGTTTTTAGTTGTTGTCGCGTGGTCATAATATTTAGACCAATAACAAAATGTTGTACAAAAAATCGTCATCAAAATTGCACTCCTGAACAACAAACTATAATTCTCTAGTTTTAATAACTAAGCTCCAGATATTATGCGTAAACAAGGATTTCTAAACGCAAATACCAAATAATGAAAGGCAGATGTATGAAAGGGGAAAGCTACATAATCCTCAGAAAAGAATTCTTTATTAATCTGCATGGAGTAACAGGAAGCCAGCTAAATCTGCTCGTTAAAAAACTAAAATCGTCAGAGGATGAACAAGGCGAGATAATTTTAACCAAATATATTTTTATCAAGCCACCTAACCACCTTACCATCTTCGGTCAAATGCATAAAGAATATCAAGAAGATATATTAAAAAAGGGTTAAAGAAATCTGCTAGGTATGATGTTTTTCGTGAGGTATTCAATAGTACGGGGTACAAATTTAACAGCCCTACATCGATACATGTCGCAAATGTGACGAATATCAAACACTAAAAAATATTGCTAGTACTGAAAACAGTTAGAGGAAAAATTAATGAACAGTTGGAAGACCACATTAACGAAGCTAATAAAGCCTTTGAAAGTAAACAAAAAGACAAAGAGATAGCTAAAAATGATGAAACGAAAAGAGTACTGGTTTTTGATTTACATTAAGTCCTACCAGCTCCCTATTTATCAACTAACATAGTCTAATATAAGCGTTTATTATCTGTGTATAATCTTACTATACTTGATTGTTTTTCTACTGAATCGTCTGTTTGCTTTATGTGGTATGAAGTCATTGGAGACAGAGGTTCTGAATAAATTGCTTCATGCATCTACAGTAGAGTAATGAGTTTATCAGAGACCGTTCAGCACGTAACAACATATTGGGACACGTGAAGAGGACAAAACCGCAACATTAATATGGCGGTTATGTCTTTGTATGTCATTTAGAAGAAACCAACTCTCGAAATAATTGATCAGAAATTTCTTTTGCAGGTTATACACGCCTCGAGTGTGATAGCGACTACGCACGATTTGAAAGGTGTAAAAAGTAAAGTTCAAATGATTTTTAAAAATAGTACCACGGGACTGGTTTCATTTTGTACGATCCCTTAGGGGCAAATCTAAATTTACAGTGGTTGATATTAGACAAGAAGAGTTTCTGGCATTTTCCAAGCCCTTACTTGACATACTAGTCAAGCGAATAAGCGACACTGAAGGTGAAAAGATATATTGGCTTAATATTAAATGGCTAAGATATACCAAGAAGTTTGGGCTTATTCAGTTTAAGTATACCTTTGATGATGAAGCGCTATTTAAATCTCTAGATATAAGAAGGGAAAAAAGGTCGACCATCACTGGCTACCATAACTGTCCCTTGCTCATGCAATAGCCCCTTGGGTAATCATTTAAAGAAAAGGCTTTTATCGATGCTAGACCTGATCGACAAAGACTGCCATGCCTTTTATAAAAATTTGCCAACCATATCCAACGCAAGAATATGACGAATTGTGCGATGATGCCTTGGATTCGAATTCAGAAGACTAATTGGTTATACAAATCCAATTTGTAACATTTCAAACATTAACTTAAAATACAAATGTTTTCTTTTTCATTTCCCTTTTACAACAATATATACATAAAACGAATAATTTATAAGATGGCAAAATGACATATATCCAAAACATTTAAGATAATCCAAAAACTAGCAAATAATCTTACTTCATGTTTTACACATTAGAAGTACATTCAGTTCTTTGTACTATTGCACAAAAAAACATAACAATACCTTTTATCACTGAATTAATATTAAGTTTGAAACCTTAAAAGTGCTCTCCTGAAAACTATCAAAAATTGACATATGTGGTTTCGCCATCTTTCCACAGAATTATTGTAGTAAGTATTCCAAGTTATTTTTCAAATATATTTAAATCAATATTGTCATTGACTCTTCTTTATTTGTTAATGATCTGTAAATCTGTCAAATAATAGACGTCAAATTTTTACTCTTGTTTTTTGCCGACATTAATAACAGTATTTATAAAAATGAAACTTACAGAAACAGAATGAATCGAGATTTTAATCATAATTGGTTATGGAGATAGCGGAGGACTCAGCAGAAGTTTGTAATTTATTTAATGCTAAATATCCCAATCGCAAACCAATTACTCAATCAACAATAAGTAAAATTGAAAAAAAAAAAAAATAGGGAAACAAGCCATGTTAAAGATCTTCCCAGAAGTGGTAGAAAATCAATATCCGAAGCCAAGAAACTGGACGTTGTGCTAGAGTTTCAAGAAAATCCCTACACCAGTTCTAGGCAGGCCGCACTAGATAATAATGTCCACCAATCAACTGTTGTAAGAGTGTTAAAAAAGGAGAGGTGGCATCTATACAAAGTACATCTGGTTCAGGAGCTATTAGATGGCTTTGATAATAGAATCGGATTCTGCAAAACCGTTATGGAAAAATGTAACAGAGATAAGAATTTTATACAATACTTTTTTTCTGATGCAACGTCTTTTATGCTGAACGGTCACGTTAATCTCCAGACATATCGATACTGGGCAACGGAAAATCCACATTGGATGGAAGATTATAGGACACAATATCCCAAGAAGGTGAATGTTTGGGCCGAAATTATAAACAATCAAATTGTAGGGCCATATTTTTTGAGAAAAACTTAACTGCTTCTCGTTATCTAGAATTTATTCAAGATTATCTGTTGCCACAGCTGAATCAGCTATGTCCAAATAAAAATGATTTGTGGTACCAACATGATGCGGCTCCCCCACACTACGGCTTTGAGGTACGAAATTACCTTAATAATGTTTTCCCAGGTAGGTGGATAGGTAGAAGAGAGCCCATCAAATGGCCACCAAGGTCTCCAGATTTGACTCCATTAGACTTTTTACTGTGGGGATATTTAAAGAACAGAGTGTATTAAAATCGACCGAATAATGTAGTCTGACCAACTAGAGTTGGTCTGTGTTGTTTCAACTGACAAGTACCACGTGCTAATATTTGAGCGGGGAGACATGTAGTTCCTAAAGTAATTTTAAAAATATATCCATTGTCATCGACCTGGAGTCAAAACATTATTAAATGTAAAATTTGGAATACTGTAAATCCATACATGGAGGTCTTATAGACAACTTTACTGTTAGCAACAAATACACAAGGCACTGAGGATGATCTGTTCAGATTGAAAATGTTCTGCCAGAATTTAAATGTTGACGACACTCTTATAAAGTTTTAAATATTTGTTTGTTTTTATACCACAATACACATGTGTAAAGTGTTTTAACTTCTGTGTTTTTTTAAACGATGGTATACAGCCAATTACAGAGTTTCTTCCCATTAATTTTGGAATAAAAGAGACTGTTCCAATTATAGAGGTATTAGTGTGACGAGCTCTGTAGGCCGGTTGTACGGCAGAGTATTAAAGAAGAGGGTTGAAAGACAGATACAAGATATTGAAGAACAAAGCGGCTTTCGTACCGAGAGATCCTGCCTTGATAATATATTTATCCTACGACAAATAATTGAAAAGCGTGTCGAAAGAAGTAGAGAAACCCATTTGGTATTTATAGACCTTGAGAAAGCATATGATAGTGTCCCGTTAAAGAAAATGTTTTAGGTCCTCGAAAGGTCCGGATTGGATTCGACGTATATCCGAGCGATATATAAATTGGACGAAAATGCAGTTAGTATTGTAAAAATTGGAACCAGAATTTCAAATGAAATTAAAGTCACTAAAGGCCTAAAGCAAGGATGCTGTTTGTCACCGACACTCTTTAAAATATACGTCCAAGAAGCATTGAAGAATTGGAGAAATAAATGTAGATTTATGGGCATCGACATGGGACAAGAAACTCTGTATACATTGTTGTTTGCAGATGATCAGGTGGTGGTTGCAACCGATGAGGAAGATATAAATTATATGAATCGAAAATTATTTGACGAATATGCCAAATGGGGGCTTACTGTAAACATAAGCAAAACAGAATATTTAAAAATTGGAGGAAATACCACAGACCTGAGGCTTGAAAACGCAGTCATAAAAGGTTGCAACCAGTATAAATATCTAGGAAGCATCATATCAGCAGATGGCAGAGTTAAGATAGATGTACAAAACCTAATAACCCAAGGGAAAAAATGGATCCGAATACTGAATTCATTACTGTGGTCTAATAAAATAAAGATGCATACCAAACTTCGTGTATCAGAGCAATTGTAGAACTAATTACCACATATGGTGCCGAATGTTGGACGATGACAAAGAATGAACGAGATAAAGTAGACGTTGTGGAAATTGATTATCTTAGAAGGTCATGTCGAGTATCGAGAATGGAAAGAATCAGGAATGAGAAAATACGAAACCGTACAGGAATTAGATATACTCTTTCAGATAGAATACAAGGAAGGCAATTAAAATGGTATGGTCACGTGATGAGAATGGAGGAGGAGCGGTGGCCAAAGAAAGCATTAATGTATGTTCCGCCAGAAATAAGGAAAAGGGGAAGACCACCAAATTCCTGGAGAAGAGAAATTACAAAAACAATTCAATCTAGAGGCTTAGAAGAGGAAGATTGGAGAGATAGGAAAAGATGGAGGCTGAAATGCGGGAAGCGGCAATCGCCGTAGGACCCCGTTATATGATGATGATGAAGAAAACAGCAACAAACAACAAAGTAGTTTGTTTAGAACCAAATAGATAATATAATGTTATGAACTGCTGATAAATATTCTTTAGTTACCTTATCTAGATTGATTTTGTTGAAAGGGAACCATTTTCCTATAAAAACCACCACGGGTCTACCGAGCCTGTCGACTCCACTTTGATACAAACATCCAATTCCAGATACCTCCGTCAAGTCCTCTGATTTGGCACGTCTCAGAAGTCGTTCGTATCTGCAACAAAAAGACTATGTTAAGCATGACCAAAGCAAAAACACAATACATATGTTATTAACATTTTTAACTAACTTCGCCACACACGCCTGGAACAGAAAAACACGCCTGGTTAAAATGGATGCAAATTACCCAATATAGAGAGGCATGGAAGAAGGAGGAGGAGGCCTATATCCAAGGATGGATGTTTGGGGCTGTATAGATAGAGAAGCAAAACGGTTGTTTAATGCCAAAACGATTTCAAAAAAGATACCTATCCCGCGGGCTTACTGATATATTTTTTAGTAATTCAATTTTAAGAAAACGGAGAAAAAAATTTGGATATTTAATATTTTTGTATTATATATTACAATAATGTAGGTACAAAAAAGTGTATACTCCAGTTGACGTTATGTACAAAAACGCCGATTATTTATTAACCGCTATTTAACAGTCCGAAATGACTAATAAAGTCATTACTTTTTTTGGTAGTAAGTTTATAATGAATATTTTATAATATACTCGTATTCGCAACCTTGTAAATTTTGATTTATAAAACTTTACAAATATTAATAAAATCTTAAAGGTATCATATAAGTCACGCAAGCTGATAAAATTCAGATTCTTGAATGTAATACCAGCATATATTATCACGTTACCTATTATTAAAATTGTAGAAAGGAAGAAAGCGAAATAATGCATTATTCAACAATGCAAAAACACAATGCATTTTACTCGACCAAAAAAATGTATAACCTATACGATTGTTGAGTTTTAGATTACGAATTGTATTTCATATTAAAAATGCACGTTGCAGGTGTTATTTTTATTCTGCCTACAGGAACAATTCAGTATTTTTCAGTTTACGAATGATATTTAAGGTCAGATTTTGTATCAAATTTCTTTATCAAAAAGTTGTTAAGCATATTTGAGTAGGCGCCTCCCGCTTACTATCTAGTACGTTAAAAGTTAAAATGTGCTAGACAAGAATTAAATTTCTCTGTCTGCCTAGAATATGGTATTCTACTCTTGTTATAAATGTATGCTTGTTTAGGACTGCACACTACAGTACCAGAGCACATATTTAAGAAGATAAACAACCCTTGTTTTTCGCCACAATATTTAGTTTCTAGATTTATTAGCACAGATAACTCAGAAGCTGTAACAATACAAGCGTCAAGCAAAGCTACAGAAGAAACATTACAAAAGAAACAACTTAAAGATAAGACTACTGTAATATTACTTATTCTTCATGTTATTCTACGGAATGCAAGCTTGGATATTAAAGAAATACATTACCTACACCAGAAGCCGTTGAACTGTGAGCTTACAAAAGAATACAGATACTTTGGCCCAAGACAATTCAACTTTCATCTTTCCTTCAGAGCAAAAAAACTGCTGGAACCTCAAGCAAAAGAAATCCAAGGGAAGAAGATTCAGAGGATAAGGACGACGTTATGAGTATGTTCAAGAATATGATGAGAAAACTGAAAGAAATCAGGAATGAAAAAACAAATTAACCCAGGTTGAAAACAAAGTAGAAAGTATTGAAAAACAGATGAAAAGAAATAACATAGTAATTACGGGTCTACCAATAGTCACAACAGATGAAACACTCTTAAAAAATAATGTAAAAGATTGTATACAAAAGCACCTAAAAGAGGATGTCGAAATAGATCTGCAATAAAGCTAAAAAACAATATATGTCTGGTACAAATAAGGGATTATGGCAACAAATGAAGGTAATGAAAGAAAAAAAGCAAACTCAGATTTCTTACTCGAGAAAAGATCTTCATCAACGATGACCTGACCCAAAGGGAAAGACATATGAGGCAGGAAATTGTAAAGAAAGGCAAATAATAAAGAGCTGAAGGTAAAAATGTGAAGATAGTGTACAAAAAACTAACTGTGAATGGGCCGGAAATGGTACTTTTAAACGAGAAAATTCCAGAAAGATGGACCCAAAACACGACATATAGTAGTGGAAAAAGCAAAAGACGACCCGTTGTGCCAACGGACCCAAGCGATGACCAGGAAAATGAGTTTGAACATAAATAGCAAAACAATAAATAAGAATATGTACCTAAATATTGCGACATGAAATGTACGACGAGTATACGAGGAGGGAGCAATTAACTGAAGAGAGAACTTAAAAAATATAAAATACACATCATAGCAATATAGGAAACAACATTGAAAGGATTAGCCTATACTCGTTTTATACAAGTGGAGGCCATAATAGGACTTTGGAGTGGGTTTTCTGGTACATAAAGACCTGCTCCACGTCTTGAATATATTTCATGCTATGAATACATTTCAGTACTTTTAAGATTACAAAGCCACGATACAATAGTCAGATACAAATATTAAGAGAAAACTAAAAGAATTCCAGAAAGTGCCAGAAAAAAAATAGTAAAATTGGTAAAAATGACAATTAGACAAACCATTTGTACTGTGAAATACAACGGTACACTCTCAGAATTCGAAATGAAAAAAAAAAAAAAGTGAAAAAAAGGTGTTCGACAAGGAGACCCGTTGTCTACATCGATATTCAATATAGTTCTAGAAAAAATTGTAAGGGTTAGTAAGACAAATAGGTCCGGCACTATTTTATACAAGAAGCACCAATGCTTAGCATACGCTGATGATGTGGTCCTCATTGCAAGAAATGGAAAAGAACTGGCAAATATAACAAAAAGACTGACTCGGGAAAGCTCTAAAATGGGACTGAAAGTTAATATTAATAAATCGGAGGAAATGGAAATCTCGAGCAAAAAAGGAATAAATACCAGGGGATCCTTTAAATTGGAGGTGGAGGATAGATCAGTTGTAGAATTCGAGAAGGACGAATATATGTACTTGGGTACTCTTATTGATCAGACATATAAGGAAGAAACTGAAATCAACCTAAGACTGACTTTTCCATGAGGAAAATAATTAAGGCCAAAGATATATCTTGTAGTACAAAAATAAGAGTATACAAAACTATAATTAGACCCACAATGCTATACGCTGCCCAGACATGGACTATTAACAAAACCATACAGAACCGATTGAAAACATGAGAAAGAAAGATACTTCTCAGAATGTTTGGTGGAAAAGTAGTAGAGGGAGAATGGAGAAGACGAACTAATGCAGAAGGGTACCAATTCTATGCTAATCCTACAATAACAAAAGTGGTGAAAAACGTAGACTGAAATGGCTCCGATATCTAGAAAGAATGAAAGATAATAGACTAGTCAAGAATATTACTTGGAGAGTACCTGATGGTAAAAAAGAGAGAAAGACAAAGAAAGAAATGGAGAGATGTGGTGATGGAAGATGTCAGAGAGATGGAAATCAGAGATTGGAAACTGATAGCTAAGAACAGGAAACGCTGGAAATTATCCATCCAGCAATTGGCCTAAAAGGACTGTTAACGCTGTAGATACAAGACAATTCACATAGAACAACATAAAATTCCATTGTCCAGTTAATTACTAGATTATATACTTGCATTTTGCTTAAACATTAATCTATCCAAATAACTTTAGGAGCTTATTAAGATAGAGTTCCCACCTCCTAACATCTTATGAATGCCGTAATCAAAATATATGACTAATAATGTGCAGAACCCCCAAGGAACTGCAAGACAAATAAGCTATTAAACTCAAGCATAAACTAAAATCCACCAGAAATTAACAAATATCTACATTTCGACCCAATTTCAATATTTTTTTTATACTCTAATATTAAACTAATGTTAACATAACGACGTCCATGACGTCTTTATTGGTCTATCCGTCTAAATATACACATTCGTGACCACTGAACGCTATTTTTAGGACTTTCTTCATCTATTTTTAAGACGAAACTACTATGCGTAGTTTAATTGATAAAAATTCTTGAAAAACGGTCGAAAGCTGCTGTTCAATGGAAAGTAAATATTAAATTGGCTGTACGAATTAGGTCAGCAGTAAAATAATTGTATCTAATATCGCAAAAAATATATAATACCTTGTATTGTTGCTGATAATAGTTTATAATTAATTAAACATTACGAAAATAAGATTAAGTTGTCTTAAGTTTATGTTTTAAATAAAGATTTTCATTGAATCTTTTGAAATATTTGTATTAATTTACTCCGTGCTTAAATTTAGATGAAGATATCCCAAATATATTGAAGTGATTTCTCCCCGTGGTTTTTAGTACCCTACTGCTAACTGAAAATGCCAGAAGATATACAAATTTGAGAATCTAGTCTTTGAATTTATTCAAAATGTAAAATATGCCTCTTAGATAGAATTTCTTTTTGAAGCCATGTAGGTAGCGTTTATCGACTTCGAGAAAAATTCTCATCGAATTGACCAATAAAAGATCTGGAAAGTACTCACACTACTAATATCACAATGGTTATCCTTCACATTTTACCAAGGCAATAAAAACTTGTATTACCAGGTATAAATAATGGTGATCATAACCAGAAGAGGGTAGAAGAAATCTAAACCAATCGAGGCTTGAGACAGGGATGTAATCTTTTTCCAACGTCCTTCAATAGATTGAGGATGTTATGCAAAACTGCAAATCTGTTGAATACATCGGTACAAAAATCGATAGACACATTTAGTTATCTGTCCTACTATTTTTAGCCAACAAAATAATATATCGCCAGGAAGGAAGAAAGGGCCTGGAATACTACGATCGCTTATCCATTTCCTCAGTGCGTTACAGAGGCGCTTCGACCACCAGATTCGAAGTATCCTCTGCGAAGATTCCATCTCATGGTGGATTATTATTATTTCTTACATTGGTAATTAAACAAAAACAAATTTTAAAGGTGAAAAAACAGGTACAGTAAAGATACTAGGTTCGCAAAACATGAGCAGAGTCCCGGCAAAGTGCTTCTAGGGATTAGGAGACTCTGAATGGGAGCCGCAGTAAGTAAGACTAGCCTGTGATCTGGAAAATGTGCCATAATTCGCATCGGAGTGCGTATTATATATTTGTTAGTAAACACATTTATACACAAGAATACAATTATT